TTAGCGCATATAGCTCTAGCATGACACCACAACACTTATAACATGACCCATGCACAATGGCAAGAAAGTCTAAGGTGGGTGTGTGCCTTCAGCACAGTCACCGCTGTGGTCTGTACCTTTAGTACAATGACCAGGCACAAGTGGTGCCAACCGCCAACGATTCATTTCCACCAATCACAATCTCATCATCATCATCATCATCATTCACACCGGCCATTACGCAAATCACCATTCAATCAGGCAACACATAATCAAACAATAACAATCAAGACACGTACTACACATAAATTCCTAGAATGACATTCAAAACATCAAACGAGACTCACACATGACAAACGGGGTACAACGGGACACGGGGAAACATCAAATGAGAAAAAACAACACGAACCACGACAAGTTTCCAGCGGGTCCACCCGCCGGCGGTGACTCACTGTTCCAGCGGGTGCCCGGCAGGCAGTCGCTTACCCGCCGGCTACCTGCTGGAACAATACATACGGGCAGCGGGTAGGTGGCGGGTACCGCTGCCCCCACCTACCCCCCACTGATACATAGGCAACTTTTCGGCCTCGGGATCTCTCGTGGAACCCGAAACAATGTCTAGACACGTTCAAACACATAACGACAACACCACGGATTCAATTAACGGAATTAAACCAAGAATTATACCAAATACGTTCTAACACGATTCCTAAACATGCCAAGACCCAACATTAATCATATAATGGTTCAGGAGCATCAGAATTACAACAATATCAAGAAATCTATATGCAAAGTCCTAAACACAAGTCCTAGGCTAGACTCAACACCCGATCATGCATAATCCCACCCAAACATACCATGTACATCATAATACGAAATTCACGATATAAACCCTAGGGGGCTTTAGACATAATTAAAATACGAGATCATACATATAGTCAATCACAATATCAAGAACATCAAGATTATCAAATAAGCACAATATAAATCCTAAGCAAGGCTCTATCAAGACTCAAACACAGAATTGCACATATGATTATCAAAGGAGCCAATAAATAAGATCTAGCAAGGAAAATAGGTTTTGTCGAGACATGGGTAACCTCTTAGCCCTAATCAATATCCTTGGCTATTAAGGTTCTTCTCTAAGATCTCCCTTCAGTGGATTCCTCTGTAGGTTTCTCTTCAGGAATATCTTGTGTAGTAGGATTAACTGTGGTAGGGTTTCTAAATGCTTCCTGAACCCCTATATATAGATTCAGGAGTCCTGACTAGGGTTTGAATGGTAAGGTTCACTTATCCTATTCCTTATAGGACTAAGGACTCGGTTAAGGATAAGGGTCCATTGTCCATTGTGGACCACACTAATTAATTGATGGGGATTCTAGTCTAGTTAAATCATTCTTAATTATATGGTAACGGGATAAATTAAATAATTAATCCGGATACGGAGGCTGTAACATGGGGTGTTACATTAGGCCTCTCCCTGGTTGGAACGGGGGAGTTTCTCCCCATTCCAGAGCACCCCTATTCTAATTTCTTTAAGGGTAAAGAGGATAAGATTGATTAAGTGAACTGGGAACCCAAAGTCCACTAGAACCCTTTCCAAAAAATGCCAATCGATGCTGTCGTAAGCTTTGTGGATGTCCACTTTCATAACTAAGGCGTCCTTTTTGCCATTTTTTTTTCTGGTTGATGCTGTGGATGATTTCCTAAGTTAGAATGATATTGTATAACGTAGAGTGGGGGCCAATGAGCTTATCCATAACCGGCCTCATTCAGTTGACAATAACTTTATACATGGTTTTGAAGATGATATTAAGTAACGTGATAGGCCGAAAATCAGCTGCACTTTCAGGGTTATCTTTTTTTGGGATCAGCGTGATGAAAGCCTCCAACAATCTAACCGGGATTGTAACACCCCACTTTTTAAAATCTTAATTACAATTCTAAACTATAATTAACATAAACTAAACAGTGGATAATCAACTTAAAAAGTTAAATAGTGGGGATGTCACAGCCACAACCACCACTCTGTGGTGATTGCACAGGCTAAGGATGGAACTAGAATAAAAATAAATAACTAACATCCATAAACTAAATTGAAAATCATAAGGGGGAAAACACACCCCGATATCTACATCATCAAACCACATAAGTCTATAAATCCGACAAATAACATAATGATAAAAATATTATGAGTTTAGAGTACTAGAACTACTAGACTAGTCTAACTCGATCACTTCTCAAAGTTGCGCCCACCTGCAAGGGGTTTTACAAACAACATATAGACAAATAGGAAAACACCCGTTAGCACGAAGCTAAGTATAACCACACTCAACCCTGTAAAGTACTATAGAATATACTTTAGAAAACATTTGATCTCAACTCAAGTAACAAACTCAACACTTAGACAATTTTAAATACATCACAGATTTCTATATGCTTGCAACCTATAATATCAACAGGCATGCTTCAAATATAAATACTCATCAACATGAATATTCCCACACATATTTCTCATAACAAAACTCTTCATAACTAACTCACACTATCAAACAACCAATACGAAATTATCATCATGCTTCCTAGATCACATAACGCAACTAGATGTAAAAGGGTATCAAAATACAACTAAAACAATCATGCTCAACATTCAAACTTGGTCAATCATTCTCACATGCAATCTAGTGCAATATTATACTCAAATGCAATCTTGTGCAAACATTCTCTTTATGTAATCATGTGCAAACTATAAGTATACTCATACACTCGCTTGTAAAACAAAATACTTTTCTGTGGAGGTTTCTTAGAGCCACAGGGACTCGCTTGCTTCGTTTCTTTCTTAGAGTCGCAATGACTCTCTTTCTTTCTTTCTTTCTTTCTTAGATTCGCAATGACTTGCTTTCTTTGCAAATGGACGAGGTAGGAACTTCACCGTATCGTGAACGAACCTATCCGGGCACGACGTCTAGCCGGCCTAATACTCATCTCGTCCACCGAACCACTCTCTTGGTTCTATGCTCAAACTCTGTGGAATCAGGTATCGAACTTTTAGCGTGCACACCCCCTGACCCGGATTCCAAGCCTAGCGGGTAGTTTCCAACCTCGTAACGTGAGAATACACCGCGTTACATGTACTGGGACCGCAATGTCCATAAAAATCATCCGAGAGGACATAGTCCAAACGGGTCCTCCAAAACAAGGATTCCTCACCATAGATATATATAGATATATCGCTCATGCATTTCATATATGCAATACTTGACTTATGCAAAAGGCATGCACAAACTTCTCAATTCATTCTCAAGGATAAGATAGGGATACTCTACGTGGAATATGAGATTTTTGGAAAATAATACTTGGGCTCACGTTGGCCACTTATACAACATGCTCCAAATTAAATATCACAGTGAACTTTCAAGGACACACCAACATGCTTGTATTGCAACATATTACACTCTATATAATTCTACCATCAAAATATACTCCAAATCCCATTGATCAAATAACATATTCTAGTCATGCTTTTCTAATAAATATTATTCTCAAAGTGAACATGCTTTTCTATTCATTTCTCAACAATATCAGGAAGATAAAACAAGGCAAATCTCATTTACAGTGAACTTCAACATACATACTGTGAAGCAAAATCATCAATAAATCCATCATAACATGCTCATTTCTAATCCAAATTCAACGAAATCAAAACCAAAACGCGCGTCAAGACGGCTCCGAGGTACCAAGCCACAAGGGCTCGTGACACCTAACCCGAAACGACACGTAGCTGAGCCACAAGGGCTCGGCCACTGCACAGAATCAACTCTGGGACCAAGGGACGGGGCTCCTCATGGCCCGCCCCTCTCAAGCCGTCACAATGCCGGGCCTAGGCAACAACCCTCTCCTAGGGCCGTGCCCTAGGCTTGGTTGGCCACGGCTCTAGCCAGCGGCCCCCTTGATAAGACGTTATGCCATGGAACCGTGTTCACCATTCATGGTGAACATGGTTCCAACGGTGTTAGTACACCGTTATCTTTTTTTTTTTTTTTTTCTTAATTAATTGCGTGACTTTTCTTCTTTATTTTCACATTTTGCGGTTTCACTTTAATTTGAGGTGAACAAAGATTTCAGACATTCATAAATTATGAATTCATGCCTGCACATTCACTTTGGAACCATGCCTACAAATTCCCGTCCGAAATCACGGACATTCATAAATTATGAATCCATGCCTGCACATTCACTTTGGAACCATGCCTACACATTCACTTTGGAACCATGAGATTATGAATTTTCTGTTATAAGATTATGAATTTTCTATTATGAGATTATGAATTTTCAGTTATGAGATTATGAATTTTCTGTTATGAGATTATGAATTTTATGTTATGAGATTATGAATTTTCATTACATTCATAATTTTGGACATTCAGAAATTATGAATTCATGCCTGCACATTCACTTTGGAACCATGCCTACATATTCCCGTCCGAAATCACGGACATTAATAAATTATGAATCCATGCCTGCACATTCACTTTGGAACCATGCCTACACATTCACTTTGGAACCATGAGATTATGAATTTTCTGTTATAAGATTATGAATTTTCTGTTATAAGATTATGAATTTTCTGTTATGAGATTATGAATTTTCAGTTGTGAGATTATGAATTTTCTGTTATGCGATTATGAATTTTCTGTTATGAGATTATGAATTTTCATAAAATTCATAATCTCATAACAGAAAATTCATAATTTGATCAAACGCGCGCCGTTAACTCCACATCCGCGAAATTTTTTTTTTTTGCCTAAAAACGACGTCGTTTTGCCTTGTGTTCACCATTCTCGGTGAACACGATTCCATGGCATAATTTGCGCCCCTTGATGGGCCGTTGGCTAGGGCCGTTACATTCATCTGGTGCACACAGATGGACTATTTCATCTGCAAATCAATCCCAAGCAATTCCAACACATCCAAAACATTATCAACACATCATAGACAAGTAGTACATCACTTCCTAGCTCAAACACAACAAAAATCTACCATTTCTACTCAAGAATCTAGGCTTCACAGAGCCAAAGATTAAAGAGGGAGTCCATGGGGTTATACCTTTGTAGACTTCTTCTTCTTGCTTGGATTCCCCCTCTTCCCAAGCTAGCTATACCCTCCTTCACCTGCTAAACATCTCAAACAAACCACACATCAACTTACTATCAAGTTCTCAGAGAAGGAATAAAGGTTAAGAGAAATGGAAGGCTAGGATTGAATGGAGAAGTATGAAGAAGCTTACTGTGTTGTCTCTTGAATTTGCAAAGCTGAGATATGGGAAGCAAGGAGTGGAATCAAAGAGGCAATTGTCTGATAAGGGTTTTATTTATAGGAGCACAAAACCCTATGTTGATCCCATATGATTGGTTGATGGCAAAAGTATAATTTCCATTGGCTTAGAGATGAATCAGGGAGAGTTTGGATGTCTAGTGGTCCACCATGCTCCATGGACCAAGGGCTAGAATTGCTATTTAAAATACTTTGGGGTTGAAAAGGAATTTTCCCAAAAAGTTTTCTAGATGAATACTTGTTTAAGGCTTCCCAGAATTCTCCCGGTCTCACTCAGATTGGTTTCTCAATTTAAAAATTGGTACGCGAAGTACCCGAAAATTTAGGATTTTAGATTTAAAATAAGTTTTGGTGTTGAATTAATTTTAAATGTGTTCAAAATAATTTATTCAAACACCAATTGATCGCAAATTTTTTTAATGGAGCAAAAATGGTTAATTTGAAATTTCTAAAAATTGGATTTAGAAAATTAAATTTTGGGTTGTCACGTTCTATCCCCCTTAAAAGAAGTTTCGTTCCGAAACTTAGAAGAAACGAGTGGATCAAATTCTCGAAAGGTAAAAGAAGATATAACAAAGGGGCTGGGAATCTCTGTTGGAACATTTTGGAAAGATTTAGGAATCTCTGAGTTCTCGTCCTAACATAGCTAAAACTTAAGCAACTAAACACATAACGAATCTATTAACTGAGCTTAAAAGCTTAAATAATTACCTTGATCAAAGCCTCCCGAAGAACCTCATGGTGGCATGTAGCTCGGATCCCATCCGTAGGGAGTCCATCTTTGCACATTTTCAATTCCCATTCTTTCTTCCATTACAGCTGCCCTTTGATCAAAATTGGCAAATCCATAATTGACTTGAGCACTCAGATTGTCAAATCGGTTATTGATCATGGCATACAAGTCCTCGTAAGTGGGTCCTTGAGGTCCACTCATATACCCCTGTTGTGCTCCCGACGGGGTGGCTGCAACTGGTGCTCCCTCATGACTCATCTCCATTCCTTGACCGGCTCCCATAGCATTCCCTTCACCACTAGTCTTCAGCTATATGCCCAGATTCAATCCCAACATTCGGCCATTTTCTTTGTGGCACATTCAAACTGACCACAAGAGCAATCCTTTCATCCATAGGCTTCATGGAAATGTCAGCCAGGGTCAGGTACTTGTTATCGGTGGTCTGGTATAGCTCATAGTATCTCAGATTGGCGGCATTCAAAGTCGTCCTAGTGGTTCTTTGTATCCTCTCTCCCAACTCAAGCAAATTTATCTTCTTAAAAACCCAACTCAACATCATACCGTAGGAAAAATTTTTCATGTTCTTTGATTTAAAGTAAGACATGTGCTTAAGGATCAAAACAGGCAGATTTATCGCACGTTCAAACCTCAACATGAAAGTAATGGTACAAGTCCAACTACCAATCTCTGTGGAGTTGTTCCTACACGGGAACAAGCACTCTATTAATAATACAAACAACTTCCTCTCTCCAGTCAACGTGGGTCTCTCAGGGCAGTATTCCTTAGGGAATTCTTCCCTACTACCAGTCATATATCTCAAATACTCATGATATATCAATCCCTCGTGGGCAACCCAATCATCTCGGTCATACATGTCTAGTCCATCTAAGGGTAGATCAAACCAATTAGACAGCTTCTGTGGTGTCAATTCGACTGTTGTACCTCTCACATTAGAGGTAATCATAGTCGTACACTTCTTATGCTTCGTGGACAGGTTTTCATAAAATTCAATCACCAAATCGGGATAAATTTCTTCTTGAATTCTAAAAAATTTCTCAATAAACCCTGACTCTCCAGTATACTATTAAAATCCTCAGAAAAATGCTTAGGAAAATAAGTTTTACCTCCTATTACTGAGTAAGTAGGGCCTTCTTGACTGGTTCCCTCCACTTTTTGTTTTCCTTTTGCTATTGAAGTCCAAAGCTTCTTGACTTGTACTTGCTTGGATTGAAGTGGATGACTCAACTAGTAATTTTCTTGCACTTAGGATAGTTTGTAGAAGGCAGTCTTGAAGTTTCTTGATTAAAGATGGTGTTTTGAAGGAGACAGGTTTTTGGTTAGAGTTGAGGTAGAATGCAGCGCAAAAAGGGAAGAAGAAGGGGATGAATTTCGACTCTCTGCTTTGGGAAATCTAATCGAGGGTTAAGGGCAGTGGGGCTTGGCAGCGGCCCTCCAAGTGGCCCGCCCCCAAGGCCCGGTGTCAGCGCATCTGACACGGCCTCAGGTCACGGACCGTAACGTGGTCCGTGACCACGTCCCGTTACACGGAACGGAGCCTGCTCCGACCGGTGGCCTAAACCCGCCCTTCGGGTCGGGTATCCGGCCCCAATTCCTTTCGATCCTCCGACTTTGTCAAATCTTCGAATCAGGTCAAAATTGGATGTGGTCCTCGACTTTAATAAACCCCGATTCTTAGTCAATCCCTTGACTTTTAAATTCTTTCCAGGAATTGCTTGTCCCAACTCAAACTTAAGTTAAACTCTTATCCAAATCTTTTCTCATCGTTTCTTTCTTTTTCCCGTTTTCACTTCTATTTCGGGAAACGACTCTTCTAGTTGAACTTTAATCGTTTCCTAACGACTTCATTCTTACTTACACCTACTTTTATTCTTCTAATCTCTTGTTATTTAATTCATAGGGCTCATGCCGATACTTTCTCTAAAACACTCCTAAGTAACTTTTAATTCTCAAAATCTTTGACTAAGCACAACTTTCAACAAATTGCAACAATTTTCTCAAGCATACACACCCAAATTAAGCATTCATGCAAGAATCAACACACTCATTCCAAATTAGAGTGTTACCTTTCTCATGATTGTGGCCACCGACCTGTGTCTATCCCATGACCATGATCCTCCCCGGTCCAGCTTTTCCCGGACGTCCTTGCTGCGCTCCACCTCGCCCATGATTCCCATTCCTGTGTGGACCTCCTCTCGGTGGATACCCACAACCCATCGCTTGATTCGGTGCCTGACTGTTCGGGGTCGTGCCATGGGGTCTCTCTATCCTCGGATACCAACAGGCTGCAGCTCTATGGCCCGGCCTCCCACACTGGAAACAAGTCACGGGCATCCCTCCACATGTGGTCCTAGGGTGGTCCTTGCCACATCTATGGCACACCGTAACCCTCTCACTAGGTGGTCCTCCATGTAACACCCCCTAAAAACATGCTAATTAAAAGCCTTAAACATGCAGATAACACAACTAAACAACAAACACAGCGGAAGACTAAAAGATAACTGGATAAACATAAATCCAAGTCATAGGGTGTTATGCCACGTTCACTAACAAGGATGAACGCTACGGCAATATCTGCATTGTTTACAACTATCCAAAATCTCAAAAGTCTATAACTAGAGCGGCACACAGGCCATAAAACAAACGGGAGAAGCTATGCTAACAGGCACTAGACTGCGCACTCGCCTAGACATCACCTGAAAGAATACAATAAAACATGGGACGACGCCCGGTCAGCGAATAATGCTGGTAACCCACCAATACATGTGAAATAACATACATAGGTAAGATATACATTTGTAAAGCTATTTTCGAAATGGAATACATAAGTATATAAGTCAAAAACCAAGATCAATAGTCAACACAAGACTCAACACTGTCAACAAGGATACGGGAACACATCCCAAACCACAAAGGTTAACCACAACACAAAGGATAATGACAAGACCGTTGGCAACACATGCCAAGGCAACACATGCATTTGTGACTACACACGTCACAAGAAGAGAACACATAACCACGGCTACTCAAGCCCTCATGACATCACCCATCACGAGTTGATATGCCTTCCTTATGCCTTGTTTCAACCTTATGGTTACCCCTAACCTTATAACTAGTTCCAACCTTTACCTCCAGGACCCCTGTACACCAAGTCCAGCCTTATTCCCCCGGGAACCGTCGTTCCCCCTCCAACAGTCCCTCCACCAAAACCACCGATTTCATAGTACACGAGGGTACCGTACACACACACGGCAACACATCCTGATCAAGAATCACGTGAACCTTACACAAAGGCCACAACTCCATAATTACGTCACGGCCACCACGAGGACCGCTGCAATACCTTGGTGACTAGTGTCCCATTCCACTAATCGTGCAATCCAGGTAAAGCCACACACACATCACACCTCAACAGGAATCAATCAACGGATCACAACGAAGATATGAAACCATACTCAATTAAGGAACGGGTTACAGCCCAACAACAACAACGATGAATAACACAAGTTATCATCAACCAATGAGAAGGTACAAACAACACACACGCTAGCATTTAAACACCAAACTAGCATGCTTATCAAACAGGTAAACCAAAGATAGTTCCGAAGAACACACAAGACTCATCACGGTTCAACGAAACACAATGTCGAACACTTAGCATGATTCACACACCAAAACCTACATGGAATCCTACCATATAGTTCTAGACATACGAAACATCAAGAAGACACTCAAATAGTTCCAGAAAAGAACATCGGGAAGTTAAAAGATCAAATACCGAGTCAAAAGAATCACGGGGAACAAATCCCCCAACATCCAACATTGTGTACCCGCGGGTGGTGCCCTACCCGTGGTTCCGCCCGCAGGAACATTCTCCCACATGCCTTGTACCCGCGGGTGGGGCGACGGGTGGTGCCCCACCCGCGGGTACATGTCCTGTACCAAAATAATACACTTCGCGGATTTTTCATCTCCAACTCAAATTCAAGTCCAAAACAGGCCAAATCTCACCAAATACCACAAAATGACTTGAATCAAAGGAAGTGCCAAGCAATGGCACAAAAGAACCCTAAACACAAGCTCTAGATATGCATTTTCACAAGATCATGCATTAACACTCTCATTTCATAGCAAAAACACATGTAGAATCCAAGAAATCACATATAGGTAAGCAAAATAGATTTTGTAGAGCATGGGTTACCTCTTGTAGACTAAAGACTTCACTTTACACCTCAACAAGCTCCTCACTAGGCTCACCTTCCAAACCCACTTCAAGAACAAACCAAAAGATCATAAAGATCCTATCTTTAAGAAAAGACACCTTAGATAAAACCAAAAACACAAGATGAACTTAGATCTTACCCTCCTAGATGCCCAAATATAAGAAAGGTTAAATCTTGGAAGCAACTCTTGAAGTTTTGGCAAGGTTCCAACTTGGCTTGGAAGAAAAGCTACTCACCTTTTAGAGAGATGGTGGAGCTAGATTTTTAGAAAAGTGTAAGGAGAGAATGAAAGTGGTCTTACTAGGTTAGGTTACATTACCAACAACAAGTGAAAGGTCAAGAATGCCCTTACTAACATAAGGAAGTGTAAGGAACAAGGGAACTCCTTACAAAGCTCAATGTACAACTTTGACTTTGGGGTTGACTAGTAAATTATTAGTCCCCAACTATTAAATTTCAGGAATTAAATTACAAATTGAAATAGGATTAATTGTTCAATTAATCCCGTAATTGGATTTGGATTTTGGGGTGTCACACTCCAGCTCCAACTCCCTGTCTCATCTCCAGATTTTTCCTTTCCCCGCCTCGGTTGTCAAACCTCCTCGTCGGATTGAACCTGTGCCCCTTGTTTGATTGAGAATCCAAACCCTCATTCTTTTTCTTCAATCCCTACATGGCATCTCGATGCAACTGTTGAATCCTAGAGTAACCAGCAGTTGCGCCGTAGGCTTCGGTCAACGTAGCAAACCCCCGTCGCGGAGAATGACTTCTAGGCATCATAGTGCAGTCCCCGGATAAACTTACGAGCTCTACAAGCCTCATCGGGTGCCAAGGTAGGAGAAAACCGAGATAGCGCCACAAAGCGGGCATGATACTCCTGAACAGTCAAGCTTCCTTGCTCGAGATGCAAGAACTCATCATACTTGGCAGCTTTAACATGCTCCGGATAGAATATCTCCCTCAGTACCATCTTGAACATCTCCCAGTCAAACCCCTCTCTCGCCTGAGCAATTGGTCCCTCCATCACCCACCAATGATCGCCCCCCTAAAAGTAGTACACAGTAGCCTCTACTCGCTGATCCATCGGGCATCCTACCACGTCAAACAGCTTGTCAAATGTACGGATCCAACTCTCGAGAACCTCCGGATCCTCCTGGCCTAAGTAACTCGGTGGATTGCGTCCCATGATCTTCCTAGACATATCTCTGCCACCATTGTTCCCATTTAGCACGGCGGCTCTGATAATCTGAGTCAACTGGGTGAGCTAGCGCAGGATCTCTGTCAGGTCAGTAGACAACGACACTCCAGGTCTTGAGGAGCGAGGGGATTCCTCTCTAACTCTTCGCGGCGGCATTGCGATGCCCTTTTAACATGACCAGAACAGATCATTCTTGTTAGCACGACTAAGGGTTAGCTGATTCTAACTTCTCTATTCTTAAGACAAAGCTCGCAACAAGCAAGGCACACAAAACAATCAAAGACACATCTTCTCAATTGCTTTAACAACTTTTCAAAAACAAACTTCTTTTCTACACTTTAACTCTCAAACTCTTGGTTTTTCTCTTTCAACTTCTCACTTTTAACTCCTCTATTTTACTCTCAACAGATAACAAAAGCACAATAAGCACATTGGTAAGGCACATAAACAATTTACAACAAAGCAAGGAAACTCACGACCTCACCGCGTTCCTAATTGATACTTAGAGCTTTTCTTATCACCGAATCTCACACTTAACCACTGAACTCGAGGTTTTCTCATCTTAATTCATCACTTAGGGTTCTTTCCCTAATCTTATCCTTCCTAGGATTTCATTTAAGTTCATCCTCTTAACTTATCCTACTTAGGATTTCAACTTAGAGGTCATTTCCTATTCGGTCCTTCCTAGGCCTTCCACTTAGAGTTTCTATACTCAATCCTAAGAGTCAAACTTCCTAACTCTCCCGCGGTTCGAACCGCTCTAATACCAACTTGTAACACCCCACTTTTCTAAGTCTTAATTACAATTCTAAACCATAATTAACATAAACTAAACAGTGGATAATCAACTTAAAAAGTTAAATAGTGGGGATGTCACCGCCACAACCACCACTCCCTGGTGATTGCACAGGCTAAGGATGGAACTAGAATAAAAATAAATAACTAACATCCATAAACTTAATTGAAAATCATAAGGGGAAAAAACACACCCCGATGTCTACATCATCAAACATCATCAAACAACATAAGTCTATAAATCTAACAAATAACATCATGATAAAAATACTATGAGTTTAGAGTACTATAACTATTAGACTAGTCTAACTCGATCATTTCTTAATGCTGGGCCCACCTGAAAGGGGTTTTACAAACAACATATAGACAAATAGGAAAACACTCGTTAGCACGAAGCTAAGTATAACCACACTCAACCCTGTAAAGTACTATAGAATATACTTTGGAAAAAATTTGATCTCAACTCTAGTCACAAACTCAACACTTAGACAACTTTAAATACATCACAGATTTCTATATGTTTGCAACTTATAATATCAACAAGCATGCTTCAAATATAAATACTCATCAACATGAATATTCCCACGCATATTTCTCATAACAAAACTCTTCATAACTAACTCACACTATCAAACAACCAATACGAAATTATCATCATGCTTCCTAGATCACATAACGCAACTAGATGTAAAATGGTATCAAAATACAACTAAAACAATCATGCTAAACATTCAAACTTGGTCAATCATTCTCACGTGCAATCTAGTGCAATATTATACTCAAATGCAATCTCGTGCAAACATTCTCGTTATGCAATCATGTGCAAACTATAAGTATACTCATACACTCGCTTGTAAAATAAAATACTTTTCTGTGGAGGTTTCTTAGAGCCACAAGGACTCGTTTGCTTCCTTTTTTTCTTAGAGTCGCATTGACTCACTTTCTTTCTTTCTTAGAGTCGCAATGACTCGCTTTCTTTCTTTCTTAGAGTCGCAATGACGCGCTTTCTTTGCAAATGGACGAGGTAGGAACTTCACCGTATCGTGAACGAACCTATCCGGGCACGGCGTCTAGCTGGCCTAATACTCATCTCGTCCACCGAACCACTCTCTTGGTTCTATGCTCAAACTCTGTGGAATCAGGTATCGAACTTTTAGCGTGCACACCCCCTGACCCGGATTCCAAGCCTAGCGGGTAGTTTCCAACCTCGTAACGTGAGAATACACCACGTTACATGTACTGGGACCGCAATGTCCATAAAAATCATCCGAGAGGACATAGTCCAAACAGGTCCTCCAAAACAAGGTTTCCTCACCATAGATATATATAGATATATCGCGCATGCATTTCATATATGCAATACTTGACTTACGCAAAAGGCATGCACAAACCTCTCAATTCATTCTTAAGGATAAGATAAGGATGTTTTGCATGGAATATGAGATTTATGGAAAATAATACTTGGGCTCAGGTTGGCTACTTATGCACTTTTAAAACATGGTCTACTTGGAATGCAAAATACAATACAACATGCTTCAAATTAAATATCACAGTGAACTTTCAAGGACACACCAACATGCTTGTATTGCAACATATTACACTCTATATAATTCTACCATCAAAATATACTCCAAATCCCATTGATCAAATAACATATTCTAGTCATGCTTTTCTAATAAATCTTATTCACAAAGTGAATATGCTTTTCTATTCATTTCTCAACAACATTAGGAAGATAAAACAAGGAAAATCTCATTTACAGTGAAATTCAACATACATACTGTGAATCAAAATCATCAATAAATCTATCATAACATGCTCATTTCTGATCCAAATTCAACGAAATCAAAACCAAAACGCGCGTCAAGACGGCCCAAAGGTACCAAGCCACAAGGGCTCGTGACACCTGACCCGAAACGACACGTAACTGAGCCACAAGGGCCCGGCCACTGCACAGAATCAACTCAGGGACCAAGGGACGGGGCTCCTCATGGCCCGCCCCTCTCAAGCCCTCACAATGCCGGGCCTAGGCAACGGCCCTCTCCTAGGGCCGTGCCCTAGGCCTGGTTGGCCACGGCTCTAGCCAGCGGCCCCCTTGATGGGCCGTTGGCTAGGGTCGTTACATTCATCTGCAAATCAATCCCAAGCAATTCCAACACATCCAAAACATTATCAACACATCATAGACAAGTAGTAGATCACTTCCTAGCTCAAGCACAACAAAAATCTACCATTTCTACTCAAGAATCTAGGCGTCACAGAGCCAAAGATTAAAGAGGGAGTCCATGGGGTTATACCTTTGTAGACTTCTTCTTCTTGCTTAGATTCCCCCTCTTCCCAAGCTAGCTACACCCTCCTTCACCTGCTAAACATCTCAAACAAACCACACATCAACTTACTATCAAGTTCTTAGAGAAGGAAGAAAGCTTAAGAGAAATGGAAGGCTAGGATTGAATGGTGAAGGATGAAGAAGCTTACTGTGTTGTCTCTTGAATTTGCAAAGCTGAGATATGGGAAGCAAGGAGTTGAATCAACGAGGTAGTTGTCTGATAAGGGTTCTATTTATAGGAGCACAAAACCCTAGGTGGATCACATATGATTGGTTGATGATTTCCATTGGCTTATAGATGAATCAGGGAGAGTTTGGATGTCTATATAAAAAACATTCACAGACTTTTATCAACTTTTTATTTTAAAAAGTCTACAGTAGTCATTGAAATTCTAAATTGAATACATCCTTACAAACTTTCAATAATTTTGATTCTTATCATTTATAATTTTCTTACAAAGCATTTATAATATATCATAAAATTCTTCTTATTATATAGTTCTTCACACATATCAACATTCTCAACATTATTATTTTTATCCATAGTAGGCTGAGACTTATATGCTAATTACTTATTCTTAAAAAAAATGCTAATTACTTATATATATTATTAATAAACATCAACAAAAAAACTATTTCATTAGAAATTCATAACAATATTGAACAATAAAATTTATAATAAAAGAATTGATCAAATAAAATATTTAAAAATATAATTACATGTATAAAATAAAAAAAATAAAAATCTAATATTAATAATATATATAAAAAATTATACTTGATATACTGCTAGGCATCGTGCAAAGAACTATTATTTGAAAATAGAAATTTGAGACTACGAACAACAACAAGGTGATATTGTTTGCAACCCCAAATTATTGTTGCGAATAGTAGTTCGCTATTTGTAGTAACATGTTGTTATATATATATATATATATATATATATATATATATATATATATATATATATATATAATGAAGTAAAAATAATATTATTTCAAATTTTTAGATGAAGATTGTAAAGTTTAGGAAGGAGAGAAAAATTGGTAGAGTTTAGGTATGAGGAAAATATAGGATAATGAAGAAAAAAATAATTTTATTGAATTTAGATAGGTTTATAAAGTTTAAATAGGGAGAAAAAATAGAGTTTAAATAGAGAGAGAAAACATTCGAAGTTGTTAGAAAGAAAATTTTGAAATATTGAGGTTGATGGTTGGATTTCAACTATTTATATTTGACAAGGAAAAGTCTACAAAAGTCTTAAAATAAAAAAGTCTACAAAAATTCATAACGTTTTGAATACCACGTGACTTTTAAAAACTCTTTAAAAGTCTTAATCGAATACCACACAACTTTTAAAGACTTTAAAAATTTTGATTGAATACCGTCTGACTTTTAAACACTATCTAAAAGTTTGAATTGAATACCTCCAAACTTTTAAAGTTCATAAAAGTCTGTAAAACTATATGAACGTCATGATTGAATACACCCCTAAATTTATATATATTTACTGTTTATCGTTTAAGTTTTGTATTGATTTTTTATCCAAATCTAGTGAAATATTAACAAAAGTACCAAATTGTCACTTCGAAAATAACTAAAAAATCAAAGATAAATACAACAATAATTGAGGGATTACATATTTAAATATGTGAGTAGAGTATAACTAACAAATTAAGTATGTCATTTTTCTTACATAAAATGTTGGAAAATTTATAGAGCAACTAATATTCATTATTTATGTTCATGTTATCTAACATTCTTGTGATTATTCGGAGTTGTGGAGTATATAAACAATCACATCTAATGTTAGATGATGGATAAAATTATTAATTATGAGCTAATTATAATTTTATCACAATTATGCTTTCCATAATAATTTGGAATTGTGAAATGCTAAAGTTTATAGCATTTGGTGTATAATATCTAAAAACATTAATGCATTAAGTTCTTCTTTTCAAAATATCTAAAAACATAATAAGTGTAAATGAAGATTATACCCATAATTTATGTTCATTTTTTCATTAAGTACGTATTTTTAGACATTATGCCATAAAAATTATACTATACAATATTTTGGACAAACATACTCCTACCATTATAACTTCCGTTATATTTTTCACTATTGTTACCATGCATATGCATCCACCATATATTTTCTTATATTTTTCAATAATAATAATATATACACATTATATATTGAAATTATATGTTAGTTATTTTCTAAGAAATAAATATCAAATTTATAAAAAATATTTTACATTATTATTATTATTATTATTATTATTATTATTATTATTATTATTATTATTATTATTATTATTATTATTATTATTATTATTATTATTTACAATAATTTAAATATTTTAAATCTAAATAAATATAAAATTTTAATATAAAGTATCAATATTGGGTGCCTATTTTTTTACGCATTGAGCATATATAAAAAAAAAAAAAAAACTAGTATGTGTATACATATATACATAAAAGTGATTAATCTTTGATTAATCAAATATTTAGAGCATCTCCAACCCTCATTACACCAAAATATCAAATTTCTTTCTCACATATCACATCAAAAAGAATATTCTTAGTATATTCTCACACCAAATTTTATTCATCTTCAACTAATTATACTAAAACACCAAATTTCCACACTAAAATAATTTGATTTCTCAATTATTAGTTCAAATTTAGTTAATTTAATATAATTTAGTTCGAACTTAATTAGTTTAATATAAAATATAATTTGTAATGTAAATAAAATATAATATAAAATATAATGAGTTTAATAATTTGATTTCTCAATTATTGTGTTGTATTTTCTAATACCAATATTATGTCATATGTATTTTAATTCAATTGTTATACCTTCATTGTATTTCAAAAATTCTTATCTGTTTATCATGTTGCTTTGGAATATGATTGATAAGAAACTTTTAAGAAAGTGAACATAGATCATACCTTCAAAGTATTAACTATTTTTTATCCTCTTAATCCTCGTTCTTGTCAGAGCAAAATATCCAACATATAACATTATGTGTAGTTTCTCTCTAAATATATAAATAAAATTTTAACAAAACAACAACAATAAAAATAACAACAACAACAACAACAACAACAACAATAATAATAATAATAATAATAATAATAATAAAGAAGACAATATCAGTGAGCCTATTATAATCATGTAACTTTTAGCAAAAACAAAAAAGATAAATTTTACTGACGCGTCAATATTGTATTAAAAATATTTAATTTATTTTAATATGTAAAAAATTGTTAGGACATCATTTTATTATCAATAAATTATAACTATCTATAGGGATGAGATCGGGTGTGAAGGAGCTCCTAGGTGAAACACGAGGAGAGATCATAATCGTTGTTCTGTGTGGGTTCAAAAAAAAAAAAAAAATCGCGCTTGAAGAACAGATTAAAATTGTGCACCTAAAGAACTAAAATTGTGCACTTAAAGAAAAACATGTCCTTCCAAATGTGGAATGCTAATTTAGGAAGGAGATGATTAACCTCTCCTTTCGAAGGCACAACAATATGCACACGAAATGTGCACCCTAATGAACAACAATGTGCACTCGAAGATTCAAAGTGATGCATATCAAAGGTTAATGTTATGCACCTCAAGTTTCAAGGTTTTACACTGGATCAGAAGGAGTGGAATTCTAATTTTAGAAGGAGATCATTAACTAACCTCTCCTTTCAAATGTAGAATTTTGAGTGCATTCGAAGACATAACAATGTGCGCACAAAGGCACAACAATGAGCACCCAAAGAAGGAAATAATGCACCAATGTGCACTCGTAGACACAACAATGTGCACCCAAAGGCTCAACAATATACACCCGAAGAGACAAAAATATACACTCGAAGAAAAGAAATTAATATATGCACCCAAAGACCCAAAAAAAATGCACTTACAACAAATTACCAAAATGTCACCGTATTTCTTTTTTAAAAAAAAAATCCTTTATTTTGTGCAGTTGATTAGGACTAAATCCATGGCTGAGATTTGTGCATATTATTCACCTGGGAGCTCCTTTAGTAGGCAATATTTGAGACAAGAGACCAAGATTCAAAAATCGGCAGCAGTGTGGGGATATGCTCAAAGTGGGCAAATCCTTTATACACACTGGCATGTTAGCTCTATCTGTTGAGCCATTGGGTTACCGTAATTTACATCCTCTCAAATGCTCTATCGGGCCGGAGTATGAGGGGTCCTTGGAGTTGAGAATTCAGTCTTTTGGAGCAAGAGAAAGTGTTGACAAAAATCAAATTTATGAACTTCTATGTGTGCATAGTAGTTAAATGTAGAAATTGGGAAGAATACATGGTAATTTAACCTTGGAAGAAATGAAAGTGTGAGCAAAAGACATGGCAGGATAAGAAGTTACAAACTATAACTCAAATTCAATTTTATGAAGTTGACGGGGTGTAGATTGTAGATGTGAGAAAAATAACAAGTCTCTCAGCTGAAATGTTTAAAAATTGATAAATCAATAGACAAAAAAAAAATGTCTTAAAGAAATAATATGGAAGTAGCATCATCATTTACAACTTTATCAGTAATAGCACATGTCATTCTCTTATAAGAGGCTATAATAATAACTGAAATCCAACGTTATGAAGTTGACAGTCGTTATATTATAGACCGCGGTGCATGTGTACCGCGGTAAAAAACGACACCGTTTCTTTAAGTAAAGAAATGGCCCGCCGTTAGAGTTAACGGAGTCTATTTGTTTAGTGTATTAAACACCAACTGACACTACAGTATATCCAAACCGACACTGCAGTTATATTAAAATGATACTATAGTTATAGTGAAATGAAACTGCAGTGTATATAAACTGAAACTGAATAACATTTCACATATTTGAGTGTATATTGTACAATGAAGCTGTAATTATATCAAAATAATCGTGTAGTTGTGTTTTAATGAAACTATAGTGTATATAAAATAA